CAATATATATCACTATTGTGTTAACTCTAAATTCGAAAGTTTCTATATACTATTTAAAGCTGTAGTATTCAAATATTCTTGGAAAACATATATCAAACTCTAATTATTATCTTGAATTAAATAAAAATATTATCCACAACTGCTTTTCAGGATATTAATATTAACACTTCAATTATAGTGTATGATAAATGATGTTGAGTATTTGATTAAATAATTATTAAGATCAACTATTTTACATAAAGTCAAATAGAATCGAATCTATTTAATTTCAATGTTAATTTAATTAATTTCGATTCGACCTTATTTATCTTAGTCACTTCGACCTTTTTTTCTTTTCGATTCCTCAGATGATTCCGTAGAAAATACCAAAATGACGGCATTACGATTTCGATTTCAATTTGAGAAACAAGACAAGGACAGAGACAGAGACAGCAAATATATGGTAAAGATTGATTTATATGAACTGTTTAGAGATATATGCGCTTTACAATAATCAATAATATTAATTTATAATAGGTTATTAAGTATGCTTATTTGTATATAAGTTTTCACTAACTTTTCCTTAGAAGAAACCGATGTGTCAGAAAGTGATACTCCTGATCCAAACAGGGTCAAAAAAAAAATTAGTGATAATGAGGATTATGACAATGATGATAGTAATAATATAAGAAAAATATAGAATAAATGGCGAACAACTAAAGTGAAATAAAGTTAGCAGAGATAAAGTAATAATTACATATGAAGTTAGATAATTATAATTTATATTTCTTTTATTAACTTAGAATTGGGTGTTTTTGTAGCTTTGCCATGACTGCATTTGCTGCTGAGTATTCATCCGAGTGTATTCTTGTGTATATTGGATTTGTTGTTGTTGTTGTTGCTGCTGTTGTTGTTGAGGATGATTGGGTAATGAGTGAGGCGGTGGAACAAATCGTTGTGGCTGTGTCCAGCCTGGTGGTGCCCCATATTGACTCGTAGTCACTTGTTGTTGATATGAAAAATAGCTGCCATTCATATATTGAATTGGTGCTGGGTATCCTCCTCTGTTTGCGAAGAACTCTCCTGGGACTCCCATCAATTGGTTATAATTACTGTCGCGATTTGCGACAGGTTGAGATGGTAGATTTTGGATTGGATTCCCTTGATAATCTGTATTTGTTTGCACAGGTGGATATTTTGTAGCATCTACTGGATTAAACCCATTTTGTTGTGGAAATGGACATGATGAAATAGGTAATTGTGAATACTTGCCTTCAAGTTGCATAGAATTGATAGTATTATTTACATTAGGTGTAGCGTATGGATATGAATTTTGAAAACCTGTAAATTTTGGCAATGAATCTTGAATTTGGGTATCCTGTTGAATTGTGTTCTCATTGTTGCTCTTTGGTTGCTGAGGATTTTCGGGAACATTTATTTTTTCTATGTTCCTCAACAATTTAGGTGAGGCGTCTGAAGAGGACGGTATTGTTTCAACTTTTTGAATTTCTTCCTTATCTTCTGACACACCTTCGTCTTTGGAGGATATAGAATCGTTAGACCTGGTTGACAAGCTTAATCTATTAGATCCCAAAGAAGAGTCAGTGTCATCCTTATGATGTGAACTCTTGTCAGTCGTTAAAGAAGAGCTTGGTTTAACAATAAATGATGAAGGAGCCATAGGCAATGAAGAGCCACTATATCCTCTTTGTTCCGTAGTGGATGTGCCTCTTGAATTGATAATTTGATTTTCAAGTTCCGTCAATGATAATACTCTACTTGAAGCAGACTTGGAGTTACCTTTATTCTTTTTCTCAGTGATAAAATTGGATTTCTTGTAAGGTTTCATTTTTGACTTAGGTTCCTCTTTCATGGGCTCTATAGTTGAAAAGGAATTTTTAGATGGAATCCATTCCACGTTGAAACTATTTTTACGGAAAAATTTGGAACCAGAATAAAGGATAGATTGTAATCTTAATTCTGTTTCATCGTTGTTATTCAATTTTTCAGAGATTTCGACTTCACCTACTAATCTGTTTGGAGAATCTAACTTGGAAAAAATAGCAGTGTCGTTGAAATCTGCCAAGGCATATTTAATAGGTGAAAATTCCTTCAAAAAAATATCTTCTTGGAAAAAATAAGCTCTGCCTGGTCTAACATCTGGAATAGTCATTTCAGTGAACTTTTTGCTTGATAAAAAGTTATTTAGTAAATTCACAAAAGAATCACAGAACTTTCTATTACGGTGTGAATATTGAATTACAGATTTGTTTGATTTTATCCAACATATAACAATACGTACCATGGCCAAATATTCATATTTCTCTAAATTATTTTCCCAGCCTTTAGCTATTACATTATTGAATATATGTGATATTAAATCGAATGCAAACTTTAAATATGCCAACTGTTTTTCAGATATTTCATCTAATGAAATTTTCTTTATTCTTAATTGATCATTACTGTTGGTATTATTTAATGAAATAATTTCATATCCTCCTATAACTGTAAGTAAACTTACAAAAATTGTATGAATGTTTTTCATATATTTTGTTGATATCCTTTCATATAATGCCAATTCAATATGGTTTAGTTTCAGTCTACCATCTAAAAGTGTATCATCTGTGTTTTGAGGTATATCTTTTTGGATGCATTTCGTAAATTTATTTGAAAATAAGGCAAGGAAGTAATATTCTGTAATTTCTTTATCTACAATTCTTGTACTTAGAATATCCTTATTGTGAGTGTCTAGTAAAATTGATTCAAATCTTTTCCTTAATGAACTTTTGTCATCACATAATAATTTTGTCAAATTTGAAAAACCTGCTAAATTTGGTATTCTCGATAAAATACTTCTAATAAATTCATAACTGGCAATTCCGTAATTTTCTGTTGAAATGAGAATCATACCTTTTTGTAGATATGTCTCTCCGACAGATGGCAAAATTAATGACGCCATGTCAAAATATCTAATTGATTTTTTAAAATCATCTATCACATATTTGTTTGATATTTTATCACTTATGGTTTTATATTTCTGAGAGGAACCAATATAAAGGATGCATCTATGCAAAGTTACCACTAGTAAAACACCTAATTTATTATTTTGGTCCAACTTATATTTTTCCGTATTTTTAATTTGATTTTTATCAGTTAAATTCAAATTTTTAAAAATTGAATTTGAAATAACTTGAGATAAGTCATATTGGGAATGAATATTTTCAATAATATCATAGTAAAATGAATGCACGGATTTGAAAAACTTTGTTACTTTACTATTCATTTGTCTAAATTCGACATATTTTGGCTTTTCATCCTTTGATTTAGGTAATAAACATTTTTGCCAGGCTTGAAACCACTTAAATATAGGGTATTGAATTTTTTCCCAAAGTACAATTAAAATATTTGAAATCACATTTGAATCAAAATTTAAATGATCGTTACTACCAATATTTGTTTTTTCATCTTCTAGAATATTAAAAATCAAACGATAAACTTTAGAATGAACGAAGTTAATATAACCATTTAATAAGGTATAATCTTGAATAATTCTATTTGATTCCAAAATTGGTTGTAATTGTTTTTGAAAATCTGTAAGTAGTCTCTGTATGTAATTTTCAGAGTTTGTCAGACTACTCATTGATCTGTTTCAATAATTTATATGTATACAATGAGACACTAACTTCGTCAGTTGTTTTAAAAATGATAAATTGAATTGTTATTTTAATTATTCAAAATTGTTATCACGCACTGATAATATAATTAAGCTTATCTATATTTCAAATCAAGTCAATTTTATAATTTCAACTCATATATATTCAATTATATATAGAAATGAATTGGATGTTTAGACACACTCGAGCACAAACAAAGAAACACGCTTGTAATAATAATATGACCCAACCAACGAGAATTGAAGGAAATTGTGACTAAAAGTAATACACCTGATTAATGATTAATGGCAAAAAAACAGATTATTCTATCGTGTTAATAAAAACATGAATACAAATATATATATCTATACTATAACACCAAAAAGTGAATTATATCAATAGCCCAAATATGATCTTTTATTACTTTGAACTTCGTTTTGCTATTATATTTTATTGTTTTGGTTTTCTGTGATTTCACACAAGTCGCAGTTTGCCAATTGTGAATAACAGAAAAACTTGAAATAAACTGATGTGTTGGACACTAATTATTTTGGTTGTAGTTTAATTTTTAGAGAGATATGTAATCGAATGTAAACAAAATCACTTCATAATTTTAAATTATTTATCTTTTTATTTCATCTTAGAATCTTTTTGTCTTCGATATCGTTAATTTCTCTTTCTATAAGAAGAGAGAGAAAAAAAAATAATACCTTTAAACTATTTCGTTGGTAATGATATATACTATATTAGAGGTTGATTTTAAACATAGTCAGTATCAAAGGTAGGGTAATGATGAGTTACCGACTAGTTAGTTAGTGCACACATGTGACTTGGCCAGTTATTATAATGGTGATATAAATCGATTGAGGAAGGATAATTAAGCAATAAAGACGTTTCTGTCATTTAGTTTATCCAATAATTTATCCTTTGGGGGGAATCCAATAAGTTGAAATAATGTCTAAAAATTCAGATGATTAGAGTTAAACTCACCCTGTCGTACCGATCAGTTACATTGTGTGTGTGGATATATCTGAACGAATCCGAACACTGGATTGTATTCTTGTCCCTTTGCAGTATTATATCTCCAGTATTATTTCGATATCGTTTAAAACCATCATCAGATACCCTGGAAAGTTACGAGGGAATCAAAATCTGACAAATTTACTACATTATTATGCCCATGTTATAAACGTTGAACAATGTGACATCAGTATGGCTACGAATAGGCGCATACCGTCTGATGCGTTGTAACTATTGGGTATAGAAGTTTGATTTCAATTTCAATTTCAATTATTTTGTTCCTTTTTGCTAGGAAACAACCAATTGTGTCCCTCGTATATATATAATTGTATGTGTGTGTATGTGTATATATCGATATCTAGTTTTATTTACTTGTAGAATATACACAATAATCACATGACTTCTGGTCTCTCTTTTATATTACCCACCATTGGAACGTCGCGAATTCGCGTTGTGTCACGTGGTTAAATATGGTTTCTCGTGTTTCTTCCGCTTATTACTATCGTAGTCAGCATGGTTTTGTCCATCGATAAATTTTAATAGTGAAAATTTTTAGAAAGTGAAGAACTTTAAAGGATTTTGACTATTAAATGAAATACAGACTGAGATGTTAAAGAAGTTAATTTAAGGTTAACGTTATTTCAAGTATATTTAGATGATTTTTGTGAATTGGGGATAGTGGTGTTAGCTTGGAGGTGAATCTGTTTATTGTCATCTATAAAGCAATGAGAGTTTTGTGCGTTGCTGAGAAGAATTCAATTGCTAAAGCGGTTTCTCAAATTTTGAGTGGTGGTAATTCTAATGCACGTGATTCTGGGTATATGTATGTTAAAAATTATGATTTTAGATTTAATGGATTCCCATTTATAAATGACAGGGACTGCGATGTGACGATGACCAGTGTTGCTGGTCATCTTATGGGAATTGATTTCCCAAATGACAGATATGGTTGGGGCAAGTGTCCGGTACATGAATTATTCGATGCGCCATTATTACAAGTTTATGATAAGAATCAAAAAAAAATTGCAGATAACATTAAAAAGGAGGCAAGAAACGCAGATTTCCTGATGATTTGGACGGATTGTGATAGAGAAGGTGAATATATAGGTTGGGAAATATTCCAAGAAGCGAAAAAGGGTAATAGACGTCTTAATGAAGACCAAATGTTTAGAGCTAATTTCTCTCATTTAGAGAGATCTCATATTTTATATGCTGCAAGGAATCCGAGAAGGTTGGATATGAATAGTGTCAATGCAGTAGAAACAAGAATGGAGATAGATCTGCGAGCAGGGGTTACATTCACTCGTCTTTTAACCGATACAATGAAGAATAAAGTGAGTGCTACAATTCAAATGAATTCTGGTCCTAACGCTAAAAAAGAAAATGTAGTAATATCGTATGGTACATGCCAATTCCCGACGTTGGGGTTCGTTGTAGACAGATATGAAAGAATACGGCACTTCATACCAGAAGAGTTTTGGCATATACAACTCCAGATCGAAAACAAAGATAAAAATGGTGGTGAATTTACAACGTTTCAGTGGGAAAGGGGACATATATTTGATAGATTAACGGTTCTCACATTTTATGAAGTTTGTTTGGAATTAGCGGGTAATCAAGCAAAGGTAATAGATTTGAAATCGAAACCAACATCTAAATACCGTCCTCTTCCATTAACTACTGTTGAACTCCAAAAAAATTGTGCAAGATTTTTAAGACTAAATGCAAAACAATCTCTTGATGCAGCTGAAAAACTTTACCAGAAAGGGTTTATATCTTATCCAAGAACTGAAACTGATATTTTTCCACAGACAATGAATCTAAAGTCATTAGTTGAGAAACAGGCTCAATTAGATCAGGGAAACCATAGGTCACCTTGGGCTGCATATGCAGAGCAACTAATATCAGATGCGCCAGGAACAAATAAGTTTAAATTTCCAAGAAGTGGTACACATGATGATAAAGCGCATCCTCCAATTCATCCAATTATCAGCTTAGGAGCTAAAGCGACTAATATAACACCAGTGGAAAGGTCTGTGTATGAGTATGTAGTACGACACTTTTTAGCCTGCTGCTCCGAAGACGCTAAGGGTTTATCAACAACATTGACATTAGATTGGGCAGGTGAAAAATTTACTGCTAGTGGGTTGGTCGTTTTAGAAAGAAATTTTCTTGATGTTTATCCTTGGGCTAAATGGGAATCGACAAAGCAATTACCACGTCTTGAGATGAATGAAATCTGCACAATTGGAAAAGCTGAAATGAAATCTGGTAAAACATCTCCTCCTAAACCAATGACAGAATCAGAATTAATTTCTTTAATGGATGTTAATGGAATAGGAACAGATGCTACTATTGCAGAGCATATTGAAAAAATTCAAGTAAGAAAATATATCAAAAGTGAAAAGTCAGGCAAAGAAACGTATTTACAACCTACAACTTTAGGAATAGCATTAGTTCATGGATTTGAAGAAATCGGTTTGGAGGATTCATTTGCCAAACCCTTTCAAAGAAGGGAAATGGAAGAAGAATTGAAAAAGATTTGTGAAGGGAATCGTACTAAAAATGAAGTTGTCGTAGATATTGTTGAAAAGTATAAGAAGTACTGGATAAAAACTAATGGTTCCAAAAATACTTTGCTTGAAGTATTTGACAGAGTAAGAAGAACGGTAATTTAGCTCTACATTGCATGCACTTATTTGATTTGAAGTTATATATTCCGCATAATAAATAAATTTTTAAAACATAACGTATCGAATCTATAATACAATTGGTTGAATAACTTTACATACATCATTTTATAGATGCTATATAAATGTCTATGTCACTAAATTTAATTAGTATATAATGTTTGTGGGACTATCTGCTGTGCTTGATATGATGATGATCTACACCAACATCTTGAATCAGTTGGCTCTACTTGAATCCAAGCTTTAATTCCAAATGATTCAAATATTTTTTCTACTCGCTTCTTGACAATAGTAGAGTTTTCTCCCTCTACATATTGGATATGAATATAACCCATTAATGTGGCTGGCTTTCCATTACCATCTTCATCTTTAGGTTCCTCTTTTGAATCATCGTGAGAGTGTGAGTGAGAATGGCCATGACTATGACTATGGCCATGAGAATGTCCTGATGATGGTGCAGAAATTGGCCAAAATTTAGGGGAAGTATAGCCAGATATACCTGGTGTTGTTGAAATTTTGTTTAAAGCATTCTTAACAGCATTATGTTTTTTATCATCTAGTTGAAGAAGAATTCTCGACGATGTAGATTTAATCAATGGAATGGCACTTAATAAAATTAAAGAGCCGATCAATATGGAGGCAATTGGATCGAATATTGGCCAATGTGTTAACTTAATCAGCAAAGTAGAAATAACGACACCTACAGAACCCAATGTATCTGCTAATATATGTAAAAAGACACCTCTCATATTTTCATTACCGTGATCACCAGCATGACCACTATGATCAAAAGCAAATAAACCTATTAAATTAACAAATAAACCTAGAGAAGCGACAACAAGCAATTCATTTGTACCATGAAGATGGATTGGATTAAATATTCTACCTATAGCTTCAATAAATATACCAGAAACAATTCCAATTAATAGAATACCGTTTGTGAAACCTGTCAAGGTTTCCAAATATCCCATACCAAACGGGAACTTATCATTAGGTGGTCTCTTTGACAATATACCTGCCAATAAACCTAGTAGTAGTGATGTACAATCTAAGGCCATATGTAGAGAATCGGACAATAATCCTAAAGATTTTGAACGGAAGGAGTATAGTAATTGCACAAACATAAATGTGGTATTCAATAGTAAAAAGGAGAAAATTGATCTTGTTTCTTCATTGGAGGCCATTTCTCTAAAAATGCTTCCAGATGAGTGTGAATGAGTATGACCTTGATGAGATGATGAGTGGCTATTGTTACTGGATGTATCATGTGAATGTGAATGATGAGATGAATTATGATGGTAACCATTGGTTTGGAAATAAACAATTACTTCAGACATCACAATATATAGAATCACAACGAGATCAGTAATGGAATGCGGTCCTAAAGTATTTGAAGATAGATAGTGTAATACTAAAGCCATCATACCTGTAGAAAATGTTGTATATTTAGTAATCCAAGCGACATGTAAATTTTTAAATACCAATTCACCATCAGAGTTCACTGAAGAATCGCTTGTTAGTAAATCTTGTAAGGATAAAAAGAAAATTGCCAGACAGCCAATGAACACGATTACCATTAACAATTGTAGATCACATAGTGGGAAGGACATCGAAACCATGTATATTGAAAAAATTGAAGTTAGTTTCAACACGAACAACAATGTGATAAAGAATTTTGAATGCCGCCTTTGATCTTGATCAGATTCTTTGGAAGGGTATGATTTGAATAAATATGACAAAATAGTTTTCTTTGAAATCAATAGTATTATGATAATTGTCAAATGAGTTGCAATTGGCATCAAAGAGTATTCATTGTTTCCCATGTAATAAATTAATGTACTAATAAATGCTAACGGTAGATAAGTCTTGGTCAATTGGAGCCATGATAACAATTTTGGATTTTGTTCGTAGTAAACAGTACACAGCATATTAATTGTCAGTAAACTTATACAAGTAGTTTGAATTGGACCTAATAAGAAACTTAATAAACTTGATATAAAAGTAGCCATGAAGACTGGGAATATTAACTTATTTCTAGTAATGATCTTCAAAGAATAACCCAAAGCTGTGAAAGACGATGCAGAAAATAAAGGTATCAATATCAGTTTAGTTAAATTCTTAGTAACATTGCCAACTATGTTTATATCATTCCCATCTAAATTGACATCATCGTAGAGCACTATTATTAAGCTGCTAGAAAGTATGATTGTAGGAAAGGACAACAGGAGAGGAACCCTTGTCAAAAACCCCTGCAATGACATAAGATAATTGCAAAAGAAATTATAGATTGAATTGAAATGAACCAACTAATAACACGTCCATAAGACAGCACTTATAACAGTGTCCTTTTATTTTTTTTGCCTTTAGCTGTATTGCCAGAATAGGTACCTTCTTAAATAGCGTTATTGTATTGCTGCTATAAAAAAATGCCCAAAGGAACAATTTTGAGAAACGGATCGACCCTCAATTGAACACAAACTAGATCTACCCTGTATGAACCCAATTCAGATTCATATACCAACCTTAGTCCTGGTCATATGTGAACCTTACCGGTACATCAAAGCTGGCCAAGTTTAGAATTGATCAATTTTATAGATTGATATATCAAATTAATGGTATCGTTAAATGTGATATTTTATTGAAGTATGTGGGAATTTGAATATAATGACGTCATTAATTGAAATGGGTACGAACCGTCACTAACCATATACATTAACTCTCTTGCTCTATCTACCTATATACTTCTTTGACTCTCTTTTGAACAAATTGGGACCACTATTTCTAATCTATTGTTCATTTGAAGTTCCATTTCATTTAATCTTTCTTTAATTTAACGTTTAGCTCATTAAAGGTCCAGAACAAGAACTAAACATATTTATATATATATTTTAAAAACGAAATCCTGTTAAGATCACCATAAAGAATAAATTTATTCTGTTTCACAACAAGATGCCAAGAGCCACAAAGTACGAATACAACTTCAATCCATATATACACGTAATTCACTTCAAGACGAACCTTTTCTGTCGCAATTATAAATTGAAATATAATAAACGAGACCATATGCATACCTTGCTACCAAATCTTGACAGGAGTACAAATAATAAATTAATAAACACTATCACACACACTCATATACTATCCACATACTTCCAACTTCCTTTCTTTAAGATCAAAATCCACTCTATACACTGATCATTTGGCTTATTTTAAGTCCCCCATCGATTCAATCGACATTTTTATGAAATAGAAGATATATTTCAAAATTTGAAAAGGAAATTTAGATATTCAAGTTAGTTCTAGTGACAAAAAAGGTTAAAGAAAAGGTAATTTAAGGTTGGATCAATTACTGAAGGACCTTATTGACATTGTCAATTGTTGTAGTGGTTAAGTAATAGGTTCAATTGGTTGTTTTTGGTTTATTTTATTGTAATTTTATTGTATTTTTTTTGGGATAAAGCTATAAGGGAAGAAGAGACTTATTTATTGGATCAAAAAAAGACAAAAAATCAGAGTGTTAGTTCTAGTTATTTGATCTTTCTTTTAATTCATAGACGTATATCTGCTGGGTGGATTGGTTTTAAAGTTTAAAGGGTTTGTTATTTTTGATTTGTCTGTTTGTTCCTGTGTTCCTTTCCTAGTTATTTTGATCATTTTCTGCTTTTTTGAGGCCCTTTATCTCCATTTGACGTTAACAGTATGGCTGAAGTTAATCGTACTACTGAAAGACATCATTCTCGTAGTAATGGTGGATTGAATTCAGGGCTCATTAAAGATGAAGTTGTATCGTTGCAGGAGAAGGTACAAGTTGACCAAGAGATTGAAAGTGTCCAACAAAAAGACGGAGGAGCTTCGTCGTTTACTCCTGGTTTTTCAAAATTTATGTTGAAGAGAGAATCGTTATTGGAAGGACAATTATCCAGTAATTTATCTCCAAGAAGAAAGTTCCTTACTGTAATGATATTGAAATCTTTGAATGGGACCTTTGATACGAAATATTTGGCTATTCCTTTTAAGCCGGATGGGATGAAATTGGGGAGGCCTGTTGCATCGAACGCTAATAATAATTCTAACTCTAATAACAGTAGCACTAATAACAACAACAGCGGTAATAATAATAATAGTAATAATAATAATAGTAATAATAATGGCAACCCCAATAATGGCAACCCCAATAATGGCAATAACAATAACAATAATAATTCTAGGAACAGGGATATGCATCAACCACCCATGGTGAAATCGGATAATGGATATTTCGATTCAAGAGTATTGTCTAGAAATCATGCAATGTTGACTTGTGATCCTAATACTGGGACAATTTTAATTCATGATCTGAAATCGAGTAATGGGACTTTTGTTAATGGAAATAGGATTGGCCAATCTGATGTACCTTTGAAAATCGGCGACATGGTGGATTTGGGTACAGATATAGATTCAAAATCTGAACATAGAAAGATTAGTGCATATATCGAAGATATATCTATTGTGCCTCTGACGTGTGAAAATACCTGCTTTTGGAGTGACACGAGAACATTAGATGTGGAGGATGACGATAGCCCATCAATAAGAGAAAGACATCCATCAATTCTTAAACAAGCTGCATACGAAACTACTTTATTTGGAGACAGTAGTCACCTTGATCTTGAAGACACAATTTTAGGTTTAGAATCCGAACTACTTAGTGGGATATACATTAACAATTCAATAGGTACAAGCTCTGAACTGTCGAATGTTTTGAGACTATTGGCCACTGAAATAATACTGGAAAGAAGATCATCATTGAAGATCAAATCAGCTGAGGAGTTTTTAAATAACTTTACTTCAGGATTCGAATATTTAAAAAAAATTATGATGGAACATAACGATAGGCAATTAGCAACAATTCAAATAAATTTAAAGAAAGAATTATGTGAACAACATGATAGTATTGTAGAAGAATATGAGCAGAAGATGAAAAAAATTGAAAAGAGAAATAAGAGTTTAAAAGAGTCATTCGAGATAAAACGAAAGGAAAATAATGAAACCATAAGGAATATTAACAATGAGATTGAAGATTTAAAGACTATGCTGGAAGTAGAACGCTATAAGAATTCTCAACGTTTGAAGAAAGACTCCAAAATTAAAGATAATGCTAAAACGACTTTAAAGAAAGATGATGATGAAAAGACTGAAATAAATTCTGAAAAAATTCCTGAAAGAGGAAGACGATTTCCTAACGGGTTCTTTAATACCATATTGTTATTCAGCGGTATTTCATTCATTATTATTGTATATTCATTTAATATCCCTTCTAAATAAAGGGCTGCATTTTATAGATAGAAAAATTTATATTAAATTAAATAAAATAAAATAAACAACAACAACAACAGTAATAGGAATAATAGTAACAATGAACTGACTTATATAGCACCAATGGATAATTGATATTGATCAATGTATTTATTCTTCATTTATTAAAATCCAAACTTTAATTCTAGTACAATATTTACAGGTTTGAAATATATATATATATATATATATATATATAAATATAATGCTTCTTACTTTTATAATAAAATTTATAAATAGGAATAATTTAATGCTCTGTATTTTATTAATGCTGCTTTACCTTTAACTAATTGTGTGATAATAGAGTTCCATTTACAATTAATGCGATGATATTTTGCAAGTTTTACAAAATATCCAATTTCTTGATTTATATTAGTTAAATTTAACGAATCTAAATCTTTCTTCATTTTACTTGTCTTGTTACAATTTTTCTTCAAATCATCAATAATTATATTCAGCAGTCTTTCCTGATCCAACGCGATTTGATAATTTGGTATTTTATTAATAAATGTCATTGAATTTAAAATAATGTCAATTTGTTCTCTAATGAGCCTTTGTAAAATATTAGTAGAATCTTTTATTTGTAATAATTCTCCATTAAATTTACAATCATACAAACTTGTTAAAACGTTGATATTGCCAGTTACCATAACATTTTCCAATCTTTTCAACAATAGATCACCGTAAGCATACGGTTGAATGTCTAATTTCAGTGGAGTTGAAGATAACTTTGAGTTCACAGATGTTTCATGCAATAGTTTAAATAAAACATTATTTGTTTCCATGCTATGTAACGAATCAAGATCCTTTTCATAGGAATAACTTTCAAATTCTCTTGGTACTGAACATATATCCATTGCCAACCTTGAATTATTAACTTGAAATGTGAATTCATTATTTGTATTACTTATCACTGGAGGGATATTATCGACTAAGCCCATCAATAAATTTGGTCTCTGTAGATGGAGATTAACACTGGGATCATGTTTCTCTTTCTCTTTCCCTTTCCCTTTCCCTTTTCCTTTCAGCTTCCCATTCCATATATAGTTATATAAAGAATCAATTGAGCCAAAGAAGGGATTCAACAATAGAATATTCGAAGTCGAACCAATTGACTTCGAATACTTGTTCAAGGAAACACTCAGACTCTTATTATTTGGCTCAGATATCACTAAATTTTCAATCATTGCAGCTTCACCAGTGGAATAAACTGGAGGAGAACAACTAGCCATAAATTGAGTGCAATGCTCACCAATCTGACCTTTACCTCTAACAGTCAACCTCGACTCATTCAACAAAAACCTATCCAACTTCTTCTGATCATTCAGCAACAATATAACCTGTGGAACCTTGGGTTGTAATGGCAATTGAGAAATTTCATAAGATAAAACTGAAGCTATTGGCGATGAACCTAATGAATAAACTCTTGGTAACTTAATAACCATTTTACTTCTTAAAACCAATCTAGTCTTATATCAACAACAATCTGCATTCAATCTGCATCCAATCCAAACCTTCCTTGTTGGAGGACTCCTTTGTCAACTTCCAAACCATCTTATAATTCACATCTCTTGTATTTTATAAGTTTGATTTTGATAGATTGAGAGATGGTCTTGTAGAGACGGGATCAAGAACTAGTTCTGAACTTGAACTTAGATGAGAAATAGAAGTGATAGAGAGATATCATGATATCCATTCATTAAATCAAGATGAGTTTGGGGGAGGGGGAGGAGGAGGAGGATTGATAGATTGATTGATGGATTTAGATTGTTTTGATCTATTGTTGGTTTGTTAACTTTTGAATGGAGAGGAGAAGATAGAAAAAATTGTGATGTATATAGTTTTTGGTTTACTTCGATTTCATTTCATTTCATTTGGTTTGGGAAGCATAGAAGGTTACACAAAGGTTTTTGACTTAAACTTTGACTTTGCTTTTGGTTTTGGTTTTGGAAGCTGCTATCCAGTTTTAAGCTATTAGAGGACAGATAGATTAGGATTTTGTTTGTTCTTTTTGGTAATAAGAGCAAGAAGATATTTGGAGAAACCGTGATATCGTTACTGTAGTGTGCTATATACATCGAAATAGCAAGACCTGGAGCTAGAGTAGGGTGTTAGGGATTGTAATATTTTAAATAAAAATAAGAATATAAATTAATACAAATAACACAAGTAATATAAGAAAATAATAAAAAAAAACAAGATGTTAGTTATTGGACTCACTGGTGGTATTGCATGTGGTAAGAGTACTGTCTCTAGGAGATTAAAGAACCATCACAAGATTCCAATTGTTGATGCAGACAAGTTGGCTAGAGATGTTGTCCAACCTGGTGAAGATGCCTATAATCAGATTGTAGAACATTTCCAACCAAAAATTCATCATCTTGTCCTAGCTGATAATCAGCTAGATAGGTCAGCTTTAGGTAAATATGTCTTCGAAAACCCTGAAGAGTTGAAAGTTTTGAATGGTATCACTCATCCTGCTATCAGATACAAGATATTTAGTACTGTCTTCGACTATTATATTAGAGGTTACAGTATGTGTGTTGTCGATGTGCCACTATTGTTCGAAACGAACTTGGATGTTTATTGTGGGTTGGTAATCACAGTTGTTTGTAAAAATGAAATCCAACTGCAAAGATTGCTGGCAAGAAACTCTGACATGACTTTGGAAGAAGCTGAAAATCGTATTAATTCCCAAATTTCAAACGATGAACGTGTTGAGAGATCAGATTTCGTCTTGAGAAATAATTTCGATATCCCTTCCTTATACAGTCAAATCGATACTGTCATGGAAAAGGTAAGACCTTCTTTTGTAAGAACAGCCTTGGAATATTTCCCACCTTTTGGTGTCGTCAGTGCTGCCTCTGTAGTAATTTCCAAAAGGTTTTTAATTCGTTGGAGACGCAAGAGATCCAAGCATATCAAAGCAACAGAAGTCGAAGAAGATGGAGAAGGAGATGTATATCGACCAATTGAAACAAATTAACCACCGCTTACTCTCATGCAATAGAGAAAGATAACTAACAGTGTATTTTCATTTTAATTCTTAATTCCCACTTCATTTTTTTGTATTACCAGAGCTTTATTAGTTTCATTTTCATTTTCATTTTCATTTTAACTATTATTTTTATTCCAACCAACCATTAGCAACTAATCTTCAGCTAGACATCATTAAAAATAACGAAATTTTCTTAGCATAATTGCTGTATCTTTATTTTCTGTATGTAATGTTTATATAGTAAATAAATATTTGAATCATACCATTTGACCATTTTCTGTCTTCAATTAATTACTGACACCACAACTCTTACGCTAAATTTCTCCATAATTTTCACCCAAAAGAAACTTAAAACTATACATAATATTAGATATAAGATCTAAAAGACAATATGGACACAGTCTAGTAACATATAACAGATGTAATATTCAATCAATTGGCACATCCTTCATAGACCAGTGATATAATCCATCTGCTGTCACCTGACCATCAAGACGAAATGAGAAAATATATCATTATTTACGGAAATCTGATGAAAAATTTAAAGCATCTCATTGAGATGCTTTAAAAGAAGAGTGGATGTGTATATAAATACTATAAGAAGCAATATAGAACTAGAAGGTTCATTGAAGTTGATAAGTAGTTTAGAATTGTGAACTAGGACCTGCAGTTTGATGACAACGACTATGATGTTACGAAATGCTGGCTTTATGAAAAGCAGACTTCCGGGATTTGCTGAATTAGTGAAATCTGGTTTGTCAGTGGTCACTGTCTCTAGAAATTATCAGATTAGCAGTAATTTGAAAAGAGAGTTTCAATACAATCGTAATGGAGCAACTGGCCGTGATAAAGGCTATTACTCTAGGGATAATAGCCACAGTTTTGGTCGTCATGGTGGTAGATTCGCAAGGAAAGCTCCTGTTGAAGATAAAGATCCAGATTCATTAGATGCCAAAAATTTTACAAAAGTTGTGGTTATGCCTAAGTTAGAGAATGAAGTAGAGGTTACTTTAGATCAATTGAAAGATGAAAACATTATTGATACTATGTTACATCTGTCTATTTCTAGAATGGGATTTCCAAATTTAACCGCGGTACAACAAAAGACTATTAAGCCAATTTTGGAAAATGAAGATAGAGATGTAATTGCTAGAGCCAAAACTGGTACCGGTAAGACTTTTGCATTTTTGATCCCATTATTCGAACATTTGATAAGAACCAGAAGGGAATCACCAGATATGGTGAAGGCAGTTGTGTTAGCTCCAACAAGAGATTTGGCTTTACAAATTGAACAAGAAGTTCATAAAATTCATAGTAATAACTATGCTTTGAAAAAATTTGGATGTATGTCTGTAGTTGGGGGTACGAAATTTGGCCAATCTCTATTCCAATTGAAGAAAACCAGACCAAACATTATCATCGCCACTCCAGGTAGATTTATTGCCACTGTCGAAGCTGTAGGAGCAGAATATTTCAAACATGTCGACTTTAAAGTATTAGATGAAGCTGATAGATTATTAGAAATTGGTTTCAAAGACGATTTAGAATATATCTCAACCTCTCTAAACGGATTGAATGATGTTGGTAAAGACCATATCAGAACTTTATTATTTTCTGCCACATTAGATGAAAAAGTTCAAACTTTGGCCGATGATGTTATGAATAAATCAGAATGTTTATTTTTAGATACTGTTGATAAAAATGAACCAGAATCTCACGAGAAAATTGAACAATCTTTGGTGGTCTCACAGAATTTTGCTGAAAGCACTTATGCTGTAATCGATCATTTATTGAAACAAACAAAAAATGTTCCAAATTATAAAGCTATTTTATTCACACCAACTATCAAAGCTACAAAATTCCTATCTAATCTTTTAAAAAAATCACTACATCGCTACCCTGTTTATGAATTCCATGGTAAGATCGATCAAGCAAAGAGAACAAGAATTGTTGGTTCTTTCAAGGGAGCACCAGCGGGTTTATTGGTTTGTACTGATGTTGGTGCTCGTGGTATGGATTTCCCAAATGTTACAGAAGTTTTACAATTGGGTGTTCCATCTGAATTATCAAACTATGTCCATAGAATTGGTAGAACCGCTAGAGGTGGTAAAGAAGGTGCGTCTGTTATATTCTTATCAGACAGTGAATTAGGTTTAATTGAGAATTTAGAGAAAGAGAAAAACATCTCCATTGAAAATAAATCTAACTATGAACCAAGTAGTGAAATAATGGAAAATGTTGAAAAATTAATTGAATCCGAAGAAGAATTAGCAGATGTACTAATCAGTGTTATCTCCTTCTATAGAGGTAACTCATCTGTACTAGGTCTAGATGAAAACAAGGCTTTTATGTCAATTGCTAGTTCATATGGTACGTTTTTGAAAGATCCTACTCAAAAAATCCCTATTTACAATAAAGGAATGCTTGAAAAAATCGGTCTTGTAAACAACACAATTAGTAGCGAAATGTTCGATTTGAAAGGTGATGCATCTGATCATATGGAAAGATTAGCCATGAGTAGATCTAGATCACCAAATAGAAAATTTTCAAGAAATAAATCATTCAATCCTTCAAACAAATACGGTAACTATAAGAGTAACAATTACAGAAACTTCAACAACAGAGATTCAAGAGGTGAAGAAGATTACCAATACAAAAGAAGTAACAGATTCAGAGAACGTTTTTAGTCCTATTTCTAAGAAGTAATGGACATGTTTTAAAGTAATGCATTTAATTCAATATTTTATGAAATATCTTGTAAATAATATAAGAAAGAACGTATAAAAGTTTCATTTAATATATATATATATATATGTTTAGATAGATATATAGTAATGTTAGTTTTACATATAAAATCATAAAACTCTTAAAATGTATCTATCTTGTCTTTTAGTTACTTAAATGTATCCATCAACTCATACTTAAATAAAGGATGCGGTCAATAATCTAAATTAAATCTATGAACAAATAAAGAAGAACTAATATATCACCAGGAGGTACATTTTAAAGAAACTGAATAGACATATAGGTAGTTAAGACCTGGATCAAGATCATTTGAAATCGCTGGCTATATTTATAAGATTTGTTAGTAAATTGCTAGTGAGATATCTTGGTTTTCGTTTAAGATTTTTACTTTCTTCATAAAGTTAACGAATGTTAATAAGAGATGGCTTCTTTGCTACTGGATAGAGTAATTTCTTACTCATATAACTTTACAGATAATGATACAAATCCAGTCACACCTCCTGATTTTAGGAAACCTACTTCAGAGGTGGTAACAACACAATTATATACTGCTACTTTGTTGGGTTTATTTGCTACAATTTCGTTTTCAGTTCTTTTAAAGAAGTTACCAAGATTATATTCTAGTAGAAGGTATAAGGATGACAGTAACTTACGATTACCTGGTTGGGATGAATCTAGTCTCTTTGGTTGGATGTCTGTTATCTATAGGATAAAAGAGGATCAAGTTTTGGAATACGCCGGTTTAGATGCATTTGTATTCTTGGGATTCTTCAAGATGTGTATCAAATTACTATTCATATGTTGCATGTTTTCTATTTGCATCATATCACCTATAAGATATCATTTAACTGGACGATATGATGATGGATCTGATGATGATGGAACTACTAATTTTATAAGAACCCTAATAAAAAAAAATGACTTCTTCGAGGGACCAACACCTTATCCAGAGGCTAAAATGCTCTATTTATCGATGTACATTGTGTTCACATATTTCTTCACCTTCATAACAATACGTCTGCTAATGAATCAAACTAAATTAGTTGTTGATACTAGGCAACAGTATTTGGGTAAACAGAATACAATCGCTGATAGAACCATTAGATTATCAGGCATCCCTATCGAATTACGTGAAAAGAATGAGTTGAAAAATAGAATTGAAGAATTGAAAATAGGGAAAGTTTCCTCAATAACCATTTGTAGAGAGTGGGGTCCTTTAAATAAATTATTCCATTATAGAGAAAAAGTTTTAAATCAACTAGAATTGAAGTATTCTGAATGTCCTAGGGATTTGGCTAGAAGTGAAAGATATTCAGAAAATTACAACCTAAGAAGAAATCAACAAAGTGATGTAGTCGAAAATAATCCTTCCGCAACAGATCAAGATTTAAATACTTCAGAACAAAGTGCCAATGAGATAGAAGAAAATATTATTTATGATGAAGTTCAACTTACAGAGAGACCAAAAATTAAGACAGGTCTATTTGGATTATTAGGAGAGGATGTTGATGCGATTGAACATCTAGAGAATCAATTAAAACTAATTGACCGTGAGATTATTGATGCCCGTACCAAACATTATAGTGCAACACCAACTGCTTTTGTTACTATGGACTCTGTTGCAAATGCACAAATGGCTGCTCAAGCTGTGTTAGATCCAAGAGTTCATTATTTTATTACTCGACTTGCTCCTGCACCACATGATATCCAATGGGACAATGTATGTCTTTCTAGAAAGGACCGATTAATCAAGGGCTATACTGTCACAATATTTATTGGTTTATCAAGCTTATTTTTAATTATACCAGTGTCATACCTTGCTACATTGTTAAATCTTAAGACTTTAACTAAATTTTGGCCAAGCTTAGGTAAATTTCTAAATGATAACAAATGGGCTCAAAATATCGTCACAGGATTACTGCCAACTTATTTATTCACGTTATTGAATTTTGCAATTCCTTACTTCTATGAATATTTGACCTCATGCCAAGGGTTGGTATCTCATAGCGATGAAGAAATTTCATTGGTATCTAAGAATTTCTTCTATATATTTGTCAATTTGTTTTTGGTTTTTACCTTAGCGGGTACTGCTTCTAATTATTGGGGTTATCTAAGTGATACTACTAAAATTGCATACCAGCTAGCTACTTCTATTAAAGAATTTTCTTTATTTTATGTTGATTTAATCATTTTACAAGGTATAGGTATGTTTCCATTCAAATTATTACTGGCAGGTTCATTAATAGGGTTTCCATTAGTTAAAATTCAAGCCAAGACACCTAGGCAAAGAAAGGAACTTTACAATCCACCAATTTTCAATTTTGGTCTGCAATTACCTCAACCAATCTTAATTTTAATCATTACTTTGATTTATAGCGTGATGAGCACTAAAATTTTGGTTTCTGGACTAGCATATTTTGTTATTGGTTTCTATGTTTACAAGTATCAACTAATATATGCCACTGACCATTTACCACATTCAACAGGAAAAGTTTGGCCTTTGATTTTTAGAAGGGTGATAGTTGGACTGCTACTATTCCAATTGACTATGGCAGGTACTTTGGCAGGGTTTGAGGGTGGATGGGTTCTGTCATCTTGGCTATCGCCTCTACCATTCATTACTTTAAGCTTCCTATACGATTTTCAAAGAAACTATTTACCATTATCCCAATATATCGCATTAAGTTCCATTAGAGAACATGAAAGGAATAATTACACAGAGACATTCTTGGTAGAAGAAGAAAATTATGCATATCCATATCTAATCACTGATCTTGAGGGTCCAATGTTGAAATAGGTTTTTACTCAGTTGCCCGAAGCTCATGCAGTTTTAGCTCTAATATGCATTGTACATTTTTAATAAATACATATCATGAAATAAATCTGTAATATTTAAGCAGAATAATTTTTTTATTTTAATTCAATAAGATAGATTTTTTAAATATTATAAATATAATGATAAATCAGACCTAATACAACGTCTTCATCAACAATATCGACCTTGTTCTTATGCTCTGTCATCATCATCATCATCATTACCGTCATCTTAATAATCATAATTACTGAAAAACAAAAGTAATTCCACACGAATATTAGTAAGAAATATTCAATTCCATCAAATTTAAATAAAAATGCGATGAGCTTAGATATAAAACTAATCATTATGGAGGTTTT